AGACATCGCAATTCAGGAATGTTAATTATATCACAACATTCTACCCGATTAATTTATAAAGACAATAAAAAATAATAAAAAATAATTAATAGCAAAATTAAATAGCTATTATAATACTACATTGACTACAAGGTAACGGAGTCTGGTACTCAATGGAAACACTATGTGAAAAAGAGAGCATTATTTTAAAAAATGATATGCAAAGCTCCACAGATCATTCTACTATTTAAGTCATTCCATTTTTATATTACATTAAGCGAAAACCACTTTGAGAAACTTATTCCTATTACACATACACTTAAGGAATGATATTAGAAGATATACAACCCATTCTATAGTAACTTCAAATCCATTTTAAAAGTCTAATTCTATTCCATTTTAAGTCTACTTGAAGAAATTAAAGACGGCCGGAAAGGAGCTTAGACTTGTACTTCTTATAATTACAAGTTCAGGAAATGTTACACTAGGTCTGCACAAAATAGTCAGACTTTTCCAAGAAATATATAAACAAAATTCCTTTAAATATATATGAGCGATCGATTTCAAATCATATTGTAAACTTTAATATACAGTCTGAAACAGTCAATTCAGTATAGAGATACTATTGGCATAGTATATAATGAATAATATATTGGGTAATTTAAAAACTATTAATAATAATATATTGGGTATATTTTAGAATAAACATTTTTTTATTGAAAATTAATTTTGATATAGTTTATATTGACTATTATTATTATTAATTTCTTGCTAATTTTTTGAGTATCTACTTAATTAAATTCATTATGTGGATCCATAAGTCCATCGCAGGAAAACTATTGTTATTTGTTATTCAAAACTTAGGCAAATAATTTTCAGTAGTTTTCGGTGAGATACCATAATTTTTTACCATTAAAAGAGTCTTGCTAAGACCAAAATGTATGGTATCAGGCAATGCAATGTTCAGTCTGTAGGGTGGATGTATTATAATTTCCGAACCATTGTCAACTCTATTCACTTTTTTTAATAATGGAATTTTTGACCAGTCCGTTTTATTGTTTTAGTTAGAATTTTCTTTAGGCTACTCTGGTCTTATTATTAGGATGCAAATAAAATTCAATTTATTTCATTTTTCACCCGACGTTTCGTTGGTTATTTTCCAACATCTTCAGGGGTATCAATAGTTAGAATTGAAATTAAGTTAAATCACTTTTTGTAAATAAAAAATTAAAAGTTAGGAATAAACATTAAAAGTTTTATAAAATTATAGAATTATAGTCAACTGCTTCAAGTTACCGCCACTTTCGATTTTCTATTCACTTTTTTTTAATAGTTTTGTTGAAGTAGTTGAATTATGAGCACTGGAGAATCGAACTCACCAACACAATAGACTGGAACAACTCGTAATAGGTTTTCAATTTCCTTAAACACTCAACTACTTTCTACTCTACTACTTTCTTGTAGCAGCTCACATATATAATTTGCATATAGCTATTTGTGTACTAAGTATTGAAGCTTTGACAAATTTCAAAAATTATTTTTCAGGTGGTATATATCTAAGTTCACTGTAATAGTGGATTCACATGTGAGTTTTGTTTGTAATTTTAGCTGTCAAGAATTTTCATTTCGTATTGAAAGCAACAACTATTCACACTCTAGTGTAAATCCAATATATGTTATTTGAAAGGGAGTCTTATTAACTGAAAATATGTTTTGAAGTCTATAATCTTAATGCAAAAATAGTTATTCAAATTTGAACATATGAAATCAACCTTCAAAGATATTGTAATTTTAAGATTTCTAAATATTTGTAAAACAGCTACAAATCACTTTATAAGTACTTAATTTGAATAAGAAAGCAATCAAAATCAAATTTTCTTTTCCAACCGGAATACTGTTTTTCTCAGATATATTTGCTATGTTTATTTGGGACGGTCATTTAGATCACTATCAAAACCTTTAATGACTGTTAAAACCATTAAAGTATAAATCTACCAAAATAAGCAACAATAATAACAAAATTTTCTTTGTCAAATTGAAAAACTCAACAATCTACTATTTAGATTTTCTCAACTATTCTTCAGTGTCTATAGGAAATGTTGCTAATCTTGTCAAAATTGGGTCTGTACATCTTTCATATTTAGCGTGTGCTTGAGCATAAATGAAACTTCTTTAAAAAGCTATAAAAATTATTTAATTTGATTTTTATGATTGTTGCTGCCAAGAGCTGAACATGATAAATATAATTTTACCCTAACCCTGTCTTCGTCGTATCCCAAAGAAGAAGCGTTCTCTTGCAGTGTTTAGGTGAACATTTATAACAAAAAGTACGTATCTCCTTCCAAAAAGTGTGCAACAAGCATTGCTGCCATGTGCGTTGCTACCTTCTCCTCAGACTGACTTACAGACTAACAGACTAACACACTCATTCATTCACCCATTCGATTGGCATTGTACTCATACGTAGAATACGAAGTATCTTGTATCTACACTGCAACCACAAAATTATTGTACAATTTTTATAGTCACTACGAAATAAACAACTACATATTTTTATTATTATTGTAAACAAATGCAGTACTTACGCTGTCGGGTGTCTGGGCACATCCATGAGAGACTTATCAAGTGTTTATTACACGTCTATGCATAAATATTCTATATTTATATATATATATACCATATATATTTGTTTTTGTTTTTTAAAAAAATACACAAGTACTTTAGAAACAAAATTGAAATTTGTAATTTGAAAATGTAACAAAGTTCCTGCTGTTTTTGTTGTTTTTATTGTTTTTTGTTTTTGGATTTTTTTAATTTTTTAATTTTTTTCTTTTTTTTATATTTTTTTGTATTTACATAATTCTGTAAACTATTAACTTTTTGTACTTTTTTAAGTTTGTGCCGCTTTCACTTCACTATAAATCTGCATTGCGCTGGTTGTGCTGCTCCGCTTCTCTGCTTTTGTGCTTTTCTGCTTTTTTGATACGAAAATTGTGTGAAAATTACGTTTACACAGGCGCCAGCACATATTTAAATACACACGTGGTTTATCGCCACCATTAAATCATATTTTTATACTACGCCTTCGTTTTTTCTCTCCACAGTGGCGTTTTGATTGTTTACATTTTGCACTTCTACGGTATAACCCAGCACCGAGTAGTATAAACAAACGGCGAGCAGAGCTTGCACTCACTGTACATTCGTGTACATTCGAAAGGTACGAGTCATAAGAGTACGGCTAAATGCATTAGGAAAGGTAAAGTGCGGAAGTGAGGACATGCGGCAGATCTTCTAGAATTATTTCTGTCATTAAATTTATTAAGAATAAGCCAAAAAAATAATTTCGTTTACTTTTCTAGATTGGAAGACTTTTGAAGATATATAAAAAAATTTATTCCTTTTAATCTTCTAGATAAATGTGATTTTTTTTTGTAAGAGGTGAAAAAAACTGTATTGGAGCCTATGAAACAATGGCACATACAAACGTCTTGGGATTCGAACCCCCTTAAATATTTTAGTTTAATTTGCACTAGCTATAACGGATTTTATAAATTAAATGTTTTTATATTATACGGAATATTTCTTAAAGAGACTATGTGACAACCCAGAGGTCTCATTAAATAGGAGATAAACGTGTAAAAACTACTTTTATACTTTTCAACATAGGCACATTTTTTTATTTTATTAAAAAAAACGTTTATTCCTTTTAATCTTCTAAATAACTGAAATAACTTTTTTCAGAAGGTGAAAAAAAAATTTTTGTATTCAGTACAAGCTTTATTGAAGCTTATGTTATGGTGGCAACGTTATAAGCAAAGGTTTTGGGACTCAAATCCACCTAAAATATTTCGGAACATTTTATACTAAACAAAATGGATTTTTTTTTATCAAATCGGCTTATGTTAATAAAAATATTTCTCAAAAATACTATGTTAGTTATATAGAGGACCCACTGGATAAGACAGTAGCATGGAAAACCCATATATATAATGAAATATCGCAAGTAAAATATAATATGGAGAACTTAAACTGAATGGCAGGTCCTAACTAATTAAATTTAGTTTTTACAATAACATAGTTTTATTTGAATTGAGTTTTTATTTATGATTTAAAATTTATGATAAAGATAACTGAAAACATGTTATGCATATACCATTTTATTACCACAAAAAAACTAAATCCATCCGTTTAAATTAAGAAAATTTGCTACATTAACTAATTTTTAAAAAATCAACATAAGTGCAGAAGAGACCTTTCAGATTTTCTTTCCAAAGATCCGAACAGAAAAAGAAGAGATCTTTCAGAGTTTCTATCCCAAACACTAGGACAAATGAAGGAAAAATTTTCCAAGGTTTACTGTCAAGCGAACAAAAAAGAGATCTTTTAGAGTTTCTTAAATAACCGATCCCTTGCATTTCATTTATGGCAACATTGCTGCTAATGTTAAGTTAATCCATTTACTCTGACTTGCAAACAGAAAGTGCTATTACTGCCTTTAAATACTGATGCAATTACTAAAAGCATAGTTTGACTTCTATATTAGCTGCCTTGGAATCATTTTTATAATTGATGCCTATTATTTTATAATGTGAATGCCAAACCAATACATAAAAGTAAATTATGCCAACAGTTGTACTATAGCTAAAACAGTCTTCTACTATTACATATAAAATTGCAATTTACTTATTAATATAAAAATGTTGCAGTTCTGGGCCAATAGCCCCAGAGTTTTAGCTCTGAGTTTTTTACTTATACGGTAAAACAATGGACCTAGCGCCGGTATAACCTAACTTAACCTAGGCCAATAATGATCCATCTCTACTATCTTAGTATATTGAAAAGATTTAATTATCGATATAGTGTAAGGAAAGCAAAACCCACTTATGTGTTGTAGTTTAGAGTATATTACTCCATTGATACTTATTTTAATTTAATAAATAGAGCAATTTATAATTAGAAAAACATTTTATGCTTTATATTTACTTTTAATTTAATATAAATATTTTCTTTTCTAATTCCAGGTAAGATAAGATCAGATTTAACACAATATGGCGGAATATCAACAGACATGATGGGTAAGAAATTTTCCACTTTTTATTTTAATTAAGTAATTCAAGATAGAAATGATGCAATAATGCAATAATGCAATAAGTAGAGCTAACGTTCGTTAGTGTAGAAAATAAAAGTAAAATCTAGTTAAACATGAAATTGACAGACAAAGTAAACAAACTGAGGTTGAAACTGAATTAAGAAAAATATCCTGCAGCTCCAAAATATCAGGATCACACTGTTACCTATCAGCTAGTTTAAATATAATTTAAATTTATAAACTGTTGATGATGGTCTTCACAAAGGCCTCCTCATATTAATTTTGTGGCAACATGAACTAAATGCCAGTGACTGTTTTACTCGTTAGTAATTTTGTTAATGTTAACGCTAACACTTTAGGAGGTGGTAACTGCATTTGACTTGACTCTTACTTACTCACCTACCGCGCATGCACTTTGCAGTTAACAGAATGCAGTTGGTAGTTGGTAGTTGGCAGTTAGCAGATTGCAGTCTGCAGTTGGCAGTTGGCAGTTTGCGTTTCTTGTAACTGCAACTCAGATAAGCAACAACACGAACATGAACGTTTTCGCCTGCCGATTGGACGACTGCGCAGACTTGAAAGCGTGATAAACTGAATGTTGCTACCACATTTTCTGTTGCAAAATTGATTAATGAAAACAAAAATAATGAAAATCAACAAAAAAAAGAAAAAAAACAATGGAATTTACAATGTAGCAGAGTGTGGAAATGATGGATCGGCACTGATATTGTGATATTTTGCTCCATCGACCAGACCAATGCATCAATATTCGATTTTAAATTAAATTTTATAAATATTTTTATATACGAGTATGCCGGAACGCATTTTACTTACACAGAAAGGCGCTTATTCATTACTTACCGCTAACCTAATAAGCATATAAGCATAAAAATAATATATTTTGATGTCAAATTGTTAATATAATATATATATTTATTTTTCATATTACTTATTAATTATGAAATTCAACATTTTTGGAAACATTTTTGTAAAGTTACAAAGTCTCGAAGCTTACAGATCTCGTATCTGGCATAAAAATGTTGCTCCATATTAATATGAATTATGAAATCACTTGTTCGCATATGGAACGCTTTCTTGTTATTGTTTTCATCGCTACTGTAATTTATACCTGTTTAACACTAAAAGCTAGCAAATTTAATAAATAATATTCAATTAGCAATTTGAATACAAATATGAATTTATTACCGTACAACCAACAACGTTAACATTAATACGAGTACAAGTGGTAATTTTCAGCATTTGCATATGCGCCGCTGCATTTCTTCCAATTTTACAAACGCTGCCAATGCAATTTTACCACCGGCAATTTAAAAATGGTCAGCTTGTTGGACTTCAAATTGCACTACACATGTGAGAAAATGCAAGTAATCAGATTCAAAGAAAATTACATGCAATCAACTTTTTTTTTTGAAAATTTATTTTATTTTTTTTTTTAAGTTTTAGCTGGGAAGGCATTATTAAAATGCTTCAAGTGTACCTTTTATGACGGTTGATAGTTGCTTTTACAAACTCACACAAAGTAAATAAATAAAATATCAATTAAATTGTATCAAATAGATACAATTATGTTATATTAATTACTTTTATAATTACCCATTTTTATGTTTCTGTACAACACAATAGTAAAATATAGCATGACCTAGTATAGAGGTTACTATCAAACGACAAATATTAACAAGATATCCAATATGTTAACAACTTTTCTCTAACAAGGTTTGTTGTTGTTTCTTCAGTACTGTTCGAACCCTTCCAACTTATAAATAATTTCTTTTCGTAAAAGGATCACATTCGAATTTAAAAATTAGCATTTACAGGTTAGATTAAGTTCAACTGTTGGCCTTGTGCACAAAGCCCGCTTAAGCTCAAATCAGATCGCGTACCAGCAACGCAGAAAAGCACAACTCTCTTATTAGTTAAAGATGAACTGACCTGAAAATTCTATAAACATGGCTAAGTCCCAAATTTTGCTATGTTAGGTCGGTAAAACAAGGAAAACGAAGATTTTAGGTCTTTTCTAAGCTAAAAATGGAGGTCGAACACAATTTCCTCTTCCTCCGCAGAGCCACAACCTCGAAAAAAGTTATTATGAGTTAGAACCAGTTTCATAGTATGTCTTCCTATTATACAGTGACCCGTCAGTATGGATTCCGTAGCGAGCTTTAGTTTAGTAGCCATACAGCTGTGTACAGGAAATGAAGTGTAGAACGTTGCGTTTCAGCGATTGTTGGTTAGCGTGTAAACTATAAGAACTTGAGCAACTCTCTTAAATCGAATAGGTAGGCAATCATTTTTTTACTTTTCGAAGTACTTTCATTGCAGAACCAATTTGTTCAGATTACCATTATGCTGTTTTGCAACATTATTTAGGTTTGGAAATGGTTGGCTAATCACAGCTGTAGAGTGTCTACGGAACCACTTTCTGTTTAATGACTGTATAGACTACTCTGTACAGATTACGAAGTCTGGAATGATTTATCTGATCAATATAAGCAGGCACACATTCTCTTTCCCTCTTTAAATTGTTTGGCCGCTCACGGCATAAAATTATCTATGAAGACAAGCGTTGTATATGTAGGCACTATTGTCTGTAAAAAATACAGTTGCGAAGCGACATCTATCTCTTCTTGTTACTAGGTCCATACAAATAGCAATACTTTGCTTTTTAATTCGAACTCCACTACCGGGTTCTTTAAAGCTTTTTATTATCCTGTAGGTGTCCATTTCGAAACACCTTTTATGGTGTAAGACTTCATTACATGGTCGTTTTTGATATATTCAACTGAGCTGTTTATTTTTGTATTTTCGAACTACTTCCATTGCTGAAACAAATTTTTTAGATTGCTATAATGCCGTTTTGCGATATTATAATTATTATTAATTAAAAGCTATGGTTCTAGACTTGGAAGACTAATTCATATAGTGATTTTCGACAAATTTACCAGTATCTATTTATAGTTTTTCATCAAAGTATGGTGGAAATAATTAATTTTATCACAAATAACTATCACGGATAATATATTGAGGTGTTCAATGGCTTTAGCTATGTAAATTTGTTATAATATACAGTTTTTATTACGGCCAATTTACAATAAGTTTTTTAATTTTCACCGGGCTAAGATCGTTTATAATCGACGTAATATCTAGTGCTATTAACAATTCCATTTTGAACAAAATTTTTTCCGAAGAACTGAATCGTATTAGAAGAAGTTAGGTGACGCTCCGACTCGGATGTTTAAAAGCAATATGGGCTCAACAATTCGATAGTCATAGCAGTCAGAAATTGCTTTCTGTTTAATTGGGTTCTAGTCGAATGCGTTGTATATTATTATAAATGTTTTTAATTATAAATATATCTATTTACATACATATATGTGTAATTAATATCTAAATATTTTAATACATATCAACTATATAGATAATATAGGAACACATATATATATATTTGAATTATAAAAATATGTACTATGCCCTTATTGCTTGTCATAATAACCCAACTTCAGTTCATTTTATAAATATCATGTGACACTTACTACCTTTTAACCGCCTAAACGGGACGTCTATCACGTCGCGTTTCATTTTTAAACATTCGCGGTACTTTAAAAACTCACTTATCCCTTTTTTCTTGTATAAAATTGAATGTTCTGATAGCTTCTCATCCCCAAACTGGCAATCAACGAACCATAAAATGCAAAGGTAGGAAGCAAAGGTGGTGCATTAAACGCAGAATATACTCTTACGTCAAGAACTGAAGAAATTGGCTAAACATGCACTTTTAAAAATTTATTAATTCCAACATGCAACTTCCACTATAGTACAGGAAAATATAACAAAAAAAAACAATTATATACTCTTAAATATAAGTATTTTAAGTGACAATTTTCAGTAGCTAAAACAACAACATATAAGTATTATACATTGTATTTGATATATGTATCACTGATAATGAGATAAATAAATAAATGCAAATAAGTAAAATTAAAAGTATTAATTTCGCGCTACTTATGCTCAACGCTATTAAACTGCATATTTATGTATCTATTTTAATATAAACCTGTCATGGTCAATGCCGTAGATACTTTAAAGTCAAGCCAATGCGTTCAGCTATCACAAGCACCGCCGCTTATTGGCACCAATCGAAACTGCATTGTGGGAAACGCAATTGCCTATGAGATTTGAGCGAACAATTAATTTGCGTTTTTATTAAGTGTTTATTGGCATGTTTTTTCCTTAATAACAGCCTCACATCTCGTTTAACAGTGCGCGGATTGTTGGTCATGTAAATAACAGGGAAATTGAAAAGGAAATCCAGTTGACAAGCACGGAAATGTACCGCAAATCATTAATGAACACAAAAAGAAGTATGAGAGGTTTTTTTCTTTTTCCACAATGTCACAGATAAAATAAATTAAATTATTCATTGGATTTGGGTTTAATTTTGAAGTATGTCTGCTATGTTTGTACATCGTTGATATGTTAAGCCTTACATTTTTCGTACATAAATTTTAATATTAAATTAGGTTATTAGAACAGAAGCCTGTAACCATTTATTTGCAATTTAATTGTTTATCATTGTTATAAAAACAGCCTGGTCACACCCCCCTTCTGTGGTATTGAAAATAAACCCACAAACATTTTAATATCTACTTCATACATGAATGTACGGATGTATGAATGTATGGATGTATGGTTGTATGAATGTATGGATGTGTGCAGTAAGTGGCAGTAAGGAAAACGTCCCTTATTTTCGGACATTTGACTTGAGTTGACAAAAAGGATATAGAAGAGCAATTTAGTTGCATGTTTGTTGTTTCTGTTGCCATATAATTTGTTAAAGTCATGTCCACATACGTATAGAATGATAAACAAGCGATACAATTTCCTTAGCATGAGGCATACATAGGCAAACATAAATGTTGTATAAAAGCACCTGCAATGTAAACAGAGAGTCAAAAAAAAAAATTACAA